TTACGCGTCCTGGAAGTCCTTCTGGGACTGGGGCTGCATCTTGTCCTCCGAGGCCGGTATCTTGTGTTTCTTGTCCTTCTTGTCGCCCATGCTGCCGCGTGGGCCGCGGCCGCTCGAGATGTTTTGCTTCGAGTTGCTGCCGACGACGTGGTCGTCCACGTTCGGGCCGTTGATCTTGAAGTTGCAGGCTTTCATGGCGCATTCCCATTCGACGGCAACCAGCAGGGCGGTTTTTTGTTGACAAACCACTCGTCTGGGAGCTCCCGATGAGGCGTCGGGTCCTCGTTGAGCGCCACCGAATCCTCCGTCCTGTAGGTGCTGAACACCTTGATCGCGGCACTGTCCGAGTCCTTGAACGCGACGCCGAGGTAGCTCCATGACTTGAGGAGCTCCTGCTTGACCTGAGACACCTGCGGGAACATCGGCCACTCGCCCTGCATGGCAACAGGGAAGAATACTGGCTCCCACGTGCGCCACTCGTCGAACCATACCCACCGCCTTGTGTGCACCGTCGACTCGACGATGACCAACTGTTGGGTGACCATTGCTCCTGCCAAGTAGAGGTCTGGGCCATGCCGACGAGGGATGTGAATCAGAATGTGCTTGCCGTTGCGCCGTCGGCGCCTGGAATCGGATCACTCGAGCCAGCACTACGTGCAAAGGAATTTGACCCCGACCTGACCTGGGTGACCCGAGAGGACTCCACGACTGGTGCCCGGTGCCTCAGATGATGATGGTGATTGTCGTGATTTCACGTGTTTCCGTCGCGCCGTTGATCCGCCGCTGTTTTGGTCGCTCAAGTCTTGACCATGTGGGAGAATTTCCTGGGTCACGCTGTCAGCGGAACAGTCTCGTACTTCACCCGCTGTCCCGTCGTGCCATCGTGCCCTCCTTGCCCTGTGTGTTCTCTGGCGTGCGGGCAACCAGCGAGCTGCCCATCCTGTTCGCTGGTGTGTCCCGCGGCTCCTGCGTGTCCAGAGTCCGCAGCGCCAGCCTGCCCCGCTCCGGCACCCTGCCCAGCGGCGGTGTGCCCAGCCTGCACCCCTTGCGCGGCCGCGGCATCCGCGGCCACGAGCGAGGCGCCCGCGTCGGCCCCGCCGGCTGGGGGCGAGGCCCAGAGCGCGGCGGCCATTCTGGGTGACGTCGGCCGCGACGCCGGGGCCGTGTACCTGGGGCTGCTGGGCGGCACGCTCGGTTGCTTCCTGGCGGCGGCTTGCCTGGGGTGCCTGAGCGCTGCGTCGAGACGGGACGCTCGGCCGAGGCGCGAGGCGGTGACCTACGATGGCAGCACTGGCAGCGACGACGTGGTGGGTGTACGTCTTCTGGGCCGCAGAGGCGGTGTGGCACCAGCGCGTGAATGGGGGGCTGGTGGCGTCCTCGGAAGGTGACCAAGTCATCGGTACAGCCGACGGCGACCTGTACGCAGTGACGGTGTCGGACTGCCCGGATGTGCGGGGGGCCAGGTTCGGCAGCTTCGACTCCCCGCCGCTGGCGATCGACCCGCAGCAAGTGCATCGGAGCGGAGCGGGTCCGACGGACGCGAGAGTGGCGCAGCTCACCGCCGCAGCAGGGCAGGCGGCACCCGCCGAGAGCAGGGTGCATGCGCGCGCAGGCGATGGGCAACCCAGAGCTGCTAGTGGTCCTGCGGCCCCTGGTGCGGCCGGGCGGCCGCGGGCCGCGGGAGTGGCTCGGCATCAAACGGCGCCGCGAGCATCTCCGCCAGGCGTGCAAGCTGGGCGTCAGCGACTGGGGCGGTCAGGAGCGCATCCAGCCCCCTCACCAGATCGAGGCGGTGCCGGGCCAGGACCAGGGGGGCGGCGCCAGCTCGTTCAGCATTAAGATGAAGTTCAGGAGGCTCCTGACTATCGAGGTCGCGGTCGGGGACAAGGCCAAGGACGCCGAGAGCAAGGGGGTGGGCGGCATGATGGGCTTGGAGGGTCAGGCCGCCTTCTCTGGGCTGTCACGCGCGGTTTCCACGGCCGAGGTGACCGCCGACCTCGTCGAGTACATCCGCGCCGAGGTTGAGAAGAAGGCGATGTTGCACAACAAGCTGCGCCTGGCCCGCGAGGAGCGGGGATCCAGGCGCAACCACGGTTGAAGTGTGGTCCCGCGCTGCCGACGGAGGGGGCGACAGCGCGCGTATGCAACCCCTCCAAACCGAGCGAGGTCATGGGCCTGCTCCCACTCGAGACGTTCGCGGTGAACGGCGACGTCGTGCACGTGATATCTTTCCTCTGCCGTGCCCGAGGGATCGCGAGGTCTTCGATCGGGACGTGGACCGGGGGCTACCCCGTGGATTGCGACAGCGGCTGGGCGAGCGTCTCAGTGTGCATCATGATGTCCTGAATGCTGTGGACTCCCTCAATTGGCTTCACGATCCATCCGTTCGCCGCGGTCGTGACCGACATGCAAGCTACGTGGGGCCGTCGCTTGCTCGGAGCCAGTGCCTTAACCATATCGAGGCCTCGGCGCAGGAACTTGGCCCCCCGCCTGCCTCGCTTTCCCCCGCAGAAGCGCTTTTGCAGCTTCGCGTGGAGGGGGCGCCTACACCGTCGAGCAGTCGTCCCTCGGGAGCTACGACCCCGCGCTCCTCTCCTTGCCGGACGTCAGCACGGCTCCTGTCCCGCTGGCGGATGCGCGGGGGGAGGGCGGGCTATCCGAGGTCGAATTCTTTGTTCGGCAGAGCCTGCTCAGTCCGAGCGAGGCGGCGGCCCGTCTCCGTCAGAGTTCTGTGCCTGTCCCCTACTCTGACCCCAAGCTTCGCGACCAGAAGTGCCGGTCCAGTTTTGCCCAGTTTATGCGCGAGCGCCATCTCATCGAGCACGCCCTGGAGGATGGCATGCGAGCAGACATCTTCTTTGTCAAGAAGAAGGGCGGCCGCCTCCGCATGGTCGCGGACTGCCGCCGGCCCAGCCAGATCTTCGTGGAGCCCGACGGGGTCAGGCTCGCCACGGGGGGCGCTTTCGGGCGCCTTGGGATGCTCGACGGCGGCAGCGAGCTCACCATCGAGGGTGCGGACCTGAAGGGCGCATTCTACCACTTGGAGTAGCTGGAGGCGCTCCGCTATGCTTTTATGTTGAGGCCTGTCCGGGCCGGGGTCATGGGCGTCTCCGTCGTCTGCACCGAGGAGGTCAAGGCCTCCGCACTCCTGTGCCCCAGGCTGCGCGTCGTTCCCATGGGCTTGTCGTGGGCGACGCGGTGGTGCCAGTCGCTCATGGAAAGGGTGGCCGACGCGAGCGGCTGTGACGATGCCTCTCGGTTTCGAGACGGCCGCCCAGCCCCGCCACTCAGCCCCGCCTGCCCTCTCGGGTCCGTGGACAACCACGTGAGCATCGGTTACGACGCGGACGCTGCGCGCGCCAACGTCACGAGGATGATGCTGGAGCTCGAGCGGCGTGGACTCGTGGTCACGAGGGAAGCTCATCTTGGCGAGGTGGAGGGCGAGTTCTCGGTCCTTGGGTGGGCCCTCTCGTCCACGGGCCGCTTTTCGTCATTGGCGCCCCGTCTCTGGCGCACGAGGCTTGCTGCGCGGGCCTTGGCCCGAAGGGGCCGATGCTCGGGTCGGGGCCTGGAGCGGGCGGTCGGGCACGTGGTCTTCATCGCGCTGGCTCGGCGCGAGGGCCTCAGCATCTTCGAATCGTGCTTCAGGTTCATCCAGGAGTGTTACAACCGTGAGGTGCCGCTCTGGAGCCAGGTCAGGCAGGAACTGCTTGCCTGGGATGGCGTTGCCCCTCCGTTGTGGCGGGACCTCCGCGCGCCGTGGTCGCCTTCTGTCGGCTGCGTGGATGCTTCCCCCCGGGGGCTGGGCGCCTGCGAAGCCGTCTGGGAGGTGGGCGCGGTGCGGGGGGTGGGTCGCCATAGCGAGAGGTGGCGCTATGGCCGGGCCGAGCGCTTGCCTCCGCGTCGGCGGGCGCGCGCGGCCGAGCTCGCGGCCGAGGGGGCTACTGGCGCGGCCGAGGGCCTGCTCGCCCGGCTGGGCGCCCAGCTTCCGTCGGGGTCCAGCGGGCAGTCGCTGGGCCCGCCGCTCGAGCGCGACCTCAGCCAGTTTCCCGAAGTCCCCCGGCGAGTGCTGGAAAAGAGTAAGTGGCAGGTCACGGGCAGGAGGAAGTGGGATCGTCTCGAGGAGATGCCTGTCCTTGACGCGCGGGCCGTTTTGTATCATGTTCGCCATGCTCTCCGAGCTGTCCGCAACCACGGGAAGCGTCTCCTCGTCTTGGGCGACTCGCTGTCTTCGGTCTCGGCTACTGCTAGGATGAGGGCCCACAGTCACACCGTGCTCAGCATCATGCGCAAGATCGGGGCCCTCTCTCTGGCTTCGGGGAGTTCCTTCTGTATCCGCTGGATTCCTCCGGAGTACAACGTCGCGGATGGCCCCTCGAGAGGCTGCGGGAGCCCCAGTGACCCCTCGCCCGTCGTCCTCAAGGCGCCCCCCATGGAGACCTCCGTCGCCCAGGACCATTGCCAGGAGCCCGTCTACGACCTAGGTGAGCAGGAGCGCCATCAGCAACGTAGTATGCAACATCATGTATCTTCACATCAGCATTCACATCATCAGCGAGCTGGTGCAAGCAATCCCTGGCCCCTGGAGCTGGAGCACATGTCGGACACCCCGGGCCTGGACCGCAACCTGGACCCCGTCGAGCCCCACCTCGAGCCCGAGCCGTCCGTCAGCATTCCCGGCTCGAGGGTGCTTCGTCTTCTTCCATATGTTGCGAGTCCCACTTCCGTGTATCATCTGGTGCAGATGGGGGCGCGTGGGCCCCCGGCTGCCGGGGGGGCGCTGCATGGGGCGGAGCCTGACGCGCCCGGCGGCGTGGGCCCAAGATGGAGTGAGCCTGCCTACGTTGGCCCGCCAGCGTGGGCCAGCCAGCCCTCCGCCGGCGCCGTTGCCGGCACTTCGTGCTCAGACTCCGGTGGCTGCGCGCGCGGCGGCCTCCCTCACGCCCATCCAGCGGGCGCGCCTCATCGAGCTGCCTGCTGGGATATCCGTCCTGAACGCGGCTTCGGTCCGTGCTCGGGCTGGCCTCCAGGCCTACACAGACATGCTCAACGGGTTCGACCGGTGGGTCAAGCAGCAGAGGAGGGAAGTCTCCTCTCCAGCGTCGCTCGACGGCGCCGTCCGCGACTACCTTCACAAGATGTTCGAGGAGGGGTGGCACCAGACCTACGCCAACCGCATGATCGCGGCGGTGGCGCGGCGCGACCCCCGCTTCAACAAGAACGGGCCGTTCGACCTGCCGCTCGCGAAGCAGGCCTCGAAGGGGCGGCGCAACCTCGCCCCCCCCCCCCCCCCAGGAGCCGCATGGCGTTGCCTCTCGAGATCGTGGCGATGGCGATCAACTACTTGCACTACCACGGCCAGCCGCAGATCGCCATCGCGGTGTGGCTCCTCCTCGAGATCTACGGTCGCCCGGGAGAAATCCACGGGCTGCGACTCCAGGATTTCGCGCCGCCACCTCCTGGGTCATCGGCAGCTCACAGGTTCCCCGCCGTGACGCTTCACGCGCAGGAGGTCGGCGAGGTGTCCAAGACCGGGGAGTTCGACTCAGCTGTGCGGCTGGATCTTCCCCGACAGCAGGGGCTGGGCGCGGCGCTCCAGGCGCTGGTCAGCGCTCGGCGCCAGGGGGGCGCCGCGGCGAACGCCTCCCTCTTCCCCGTCACTCAGGCGGAGGTCTCGCGCGGTTGGCGCGGGGCCATCCGGGCGCTCAGGCTCGACACCATCGGCGTCAGCCACGTGCGCCAGCTCCGCCACTCGGGGCCCAGCCACGATTACGCCGCCAACCTCCGCGACCTCGAGCAGATCCGCCGCAGAAGCCGCTGGAAGTCGTGGAGCTCTGTGCGGAGGTGCGAGAAGGGCGGCCGTCTCACCGAGCAGATCCACAAGTTGCCCGCCGCGCAGAGGCGGCGCGCCGTGGCCTGCTGCCCCGCCCTGACAGCGTGCACGCGCGGCCTGCCCTCAGCATTGGCTCCAGTCTGCCCGACCCGGCGGTGATCCTGGATCTTTCTGCGGCGAGGGCGGCTTCGGTCGGGCGGCCGCTGACTTGGGCACGCCAGTGCTGCTGTGGGACACTTCCCTCGGTGAACAGCATGATCTCTCGAAGGCGGGCAACAAATCCCTGATCTTGAGGTGGGCGCGGGCCGGGCGCGTAAGAGGCTGGCACGCTGGCATTCCTTGCAATGCCCTGACGCGCTGCCGTGACCACGGGGTTGGAGCCCCTCCTGTCCGTTCTGATACTTACCTCCTGGCCTTCCCCCCCCTCAAACCACACCTCCAAGCCATCGTTGAGGTCTCGAATTCGCTGAATAGTTTTGTGGCCACTCTTGCCTGCCTGTCCATCGTGATGCGTGTTCCGTGGAGCGTTGAGAACCCCAAGACCTCTCGGTAGTGGCTTCTCCCTAGGTTCAGAGCGCTCCCCAGGCGTAAATCTATGATTTTCATTATTATCTCCATGTGCCAGTGAGGGGGGCCGTGGTAAAAGGACAGGGCTCTTGATGTCTGATCTTGAGCCCGGCAGCTTTAGTAACTCGGTATGCTGTGGCTCACGTAGAGGTATTTGTTCGCGGACGGGCCGCCCCCACGTCCAAATCCAGGGCTTTTTGCCCAAGGGCGGGTTCCAGACAAAAAAAAAGGGGCTGTCTATCCGCGCAAGTTCTGTCTCGCGCTGGCCAGGTGTTTCCACAGCGCTGAGGTCGGTGCCTCAGCTCAGGTGATCCAGCAATCTTTGTCTAAATAGTATGCCTTTTAACTCGGCGTGGCCAGCTTGCTGCTGCATATTTGGCGCATATTCGGCAGTCTGTATGTGTATACTCGTGCTCCTCGCATCTGTGTGCTTGAGCTCTGGTGGTGCGGTGCCGCACCTCGAAGGCTGGACTTTTACGCTGCCCAGTCTCTTGCAATTGCTGGCAGTAAAAAAAAAGGTGCACAGGGGTGTCGTGATTTCACGTGCTTCCGTCGCGCCGTTGATCCGCCGCTGTTTTGGTCGCTCAAGTCTTCCTCCTCCTCTCCTCCACCCTCTTTCAGGCAGCGCGTATGCTGCAGGCAGTATGTATGTGTATGCTCGTGCTGCTCGCGTCTGTGTGCTTGAGCTCTGGTGGTGCGGTGCCGCACCTCGAAGGCTGGACTGTTACGCTGCTCAGTCTCTTGCAATTGCTGGCAGTTAAAAAGGTGCACAGGATAATGATGATTGGAGCAGGGAGGGGGGGGGCAGCGGGAGGAGAAGGAGAAACACGGCGTTGAGAAAGAACGGGTAATTGCTGAAACCTTGGGTGGCTCTTCCTCTGTCCATTGAACCAGCGCCTCGCTCGACACATCACCACGATCTGCTAGTCCTCGTGCAACTGAGCGTGAGTGGATATGAACGGCAGTTAGTCTGGGCGAGAGTGTAAATGGGTGTGAGCATACATATACACATATAAACATATGCGTGGGTTTGAATGTGTTTGAGTGCAAGAGGTCTGTGGCTGAGTGGGTCTGTGTATGATTGAGTATGACTGTAAGCACGCTGGAGTGTGAGTGAGCCTGGGCGCGATACGTTCGTCTGGGTATGAACGTATCTGAACATGAGTCGGTCGGTGCTGTGTGAGTCTGGGTGTGAGTGATTCTGGAGATGACAGTCTACGTCGGGCGCGGGCGAGTCTGAATACGAAGGCGTCTGCGTCTGAGTGTGGGGCTTGTGGACAGCAGTGCCCCAGCGTGGGGGTTGAGGAGGAGGGTGAGTGGTCGCCTGTCTCGCTCACCCCTTCCACCGCAAACGGCGCGCTTGGCACAGCCAGCCCCTCTCCCCCCCCTCCTCCGTCGGGCCGCTAGGGGGGCCCCAACGGCACAGCCAATCCGTCCTCCCTCCCTCCTCCCTTGGGCGAGTCGGATTGAGGAGGGCGAATGGGCCGCTTTTCTCGCTCACCCCCTTCCGCCTGGCACGGCAAGCTTCGCAGAGGCAACCCTTGCGACAGACCCGAGGCTGTGGCGTCCGCGACCACTGAAGACGAAAATCCGCCACCGCGCCTGCCTTCAGCACGTGCCAGGGTGAGCCACGCCTCTTGGAGACAGTTTTGTAGCCTTTTTCGGGGCGTCTCGACAACTCAATTCGACCTCTTGGACCCCTCTTGAAGCCTTGCTGGGCAGTCTTGGGCGCCTCTTGGGCCATTTGGGGGCCTTCGTGGGCCATCCTGGGGCTCTCTGGGCGATCTTGGGGGCTTCTTGGGTCTTTTTGGACGCTATGAAGGCCGCCTGTATTCGCTTGTCTATAGGATTCGGGCGATGCGTGCACCCTGGGGCCTCTGCGGGGTGCTCTTGGGGCTCTTTCGGGGCGTCTTGGGGGGGAGGGCCTCGTGGGGGCCTCTTGGGGGCCTCTTGGGACGTCTGGAGGACATCGTAGCCAGTCTTGGGGCCTATTGGGGCTGTCTCAGGCGCTCTTGCACTCTCTCGGGCGCTCTGACGACATCTTGTTGTTTCTTTTTATAAGTCGTTTTGGGCGGGGGCACCGCCCCAGAGGCCCACGCGGGACACCCTAAGCGTCCATTATCGCCCAAGAGCGCTTGGAAAACTGGGGGCTGAGGCCCTGAATAAGAACTTTACAGCCCAGCCCCCATGCGCGGTGCCTCGATCTCAGGGCTGCAAGAGCCGCCCCGCAAAGCTTCCCAGGAGACCCCAAACAAGTATCCATGAGGCGTGTGACCCATAAGGGCCCACAAGCCAGGCAGAGCGGCGAGATTGGCCGAAGGCCAGTAGATAGCGCCCGTCTGGCTTGGGCGGTAATGGTGCACGCCTAACACTGCTAGTGCTTAGCCTACCAGTGCTCCCCTTAGGCCTCCCATTCAGAACAATGCGGTCTTCGCTTGCAGCGCGCCGCTCGTTTTTCTGCTCCCATCGAAGTCGCCGTCGTCGAGCCAAGGATGGAGACCTGGAGTTGTTGTTTAAACCTGGACCCCGGACCTTTTTGTTTAGAAGGAAAACACAAGACAGAAGAAACACATGAGACCTGAAATCGCTGACGTCGACGCTCGGGTCGACCGACGACTCCGCTATGTCGAGTTCGATCTCCGTGTTCGGGTTGGCGTCGTCGTCGAGCCGTCGTCGCTTGTGCTGGTAGTTGTCGTCGTCGTCCGGGTCGTCGCTCGTGATGGTCACAGCGGTGTTGCTGCAGCCGCCGTCGCCGCCGACATGGGCCGCGGCGGAGCTGAGGGCGAAAGGGCGCCCTGCCTTGCCCCTGCGGAGCGCCTCGAACGCGCTGGGCCACCGCCTGCCTCGTATCATCTCGGGCCAGCGGCGGGCCCATTGCTCCAGTGATGGATGATACTGCAATCCCAAGGCCTTCAGTGCGTCTCTCATGGTACCAGCCTGGCCGATTAGAACGGATAGACGGATTGCCATTTTTGGATTATGAGTCATCATCTCCACGATTTCGTCCCGGCGCAAGCCGAGACTGGCGTATGCTTCAGAATTGTGATTAGACAGTCGGATCGCCAAGTGCAGTTGGGCGTGACGACGCTCGATGCTCTGTTCCAAATTGGAGGCGAACATCGCCTTTCTGCGTATAGCCATCAACTCGGGCAAATCCGCGATGTCGGTATCGCCCCGCAGGAACTGAAATATTTACCCCCGAATGATAGAGCCATGGCCGAACATCCGCTTCGTCATCTGGTGTTTGACGTCCTGCGCTGTCAAGTTCTCGTACAAAACCAAGCAGATAGCGAGGTGCGTCCTCATGCACTTGTGGTCAAAGTGGCCCACGCACAGACATTTCAGGGGCAGCTGCGCGATGGGGTCGAGCCGCACCTGCATCTCTGCAATGATGAAGGCCTTCGCAGCGGCAAACTCCCTGAATATCTTGCTCGAGTCATTGGCATCAACGTTGACCAGGCGGCGCAATAATTCAGTGTACTTCAAATCCAATGCTTCGCGCATCAACTCATGGAATGCCCCGCAAGCCATCTCAGGTATACGACGACCCCTCATGGGGCAAGACTTCTTAAGGTGGACAAGGTTGTGCTGCCTGCAGAAAGCTCTCGGGTGGCACCGACACCCCTGAGACCACGCCTCAAGCCATCCGAGGGCTGATGCTATGACTGGTATCAAATTGATGCACGCCCAGAAGAAGGGACTTGCATTTGCTGCCGTTACCTTCGCTACTTGTCCGGCATGCTCGTCGTTCCAGTTTGCATGTTGTGGCGCTTGTCCATGCCCGCCGCCATTGCCAGGGCCATCTCTGAATTGCACGCGATCTTCGTTCCAAAATGTGAGGAGATATTGCCTGGTAAGCAGCCACTCTACAATCTCAACGACCGCACCCCAAACCCTTCCCCCTTCGAAGAGCGGAGGCCCACTGCGGAAGAATGGTTGCCAAACAGCGTTGTCTCCAACCAAGCAAGTTTCAACGAATCTATCCCTCGAGAAGCTGTAATGAAACACCACGCAGAAAGCTTCCAAAGACTTCTTCACGTCGGGCCAAGGCGGTAGATGTTGAAGTACGCGCGTCTGAATATTTTCGACTGCATGGAACGAGCCTGGTATGTGCAATGCTTGCCGCATGTGCAGCTGGGTCTGCATGTCTTCCATGACGTTGTGGAGGTGCCCGTCCGCGGCCTCCATGTCGGCGTCGTCGCCGTGGCCGTCATCCCCAGCCGCTGGGCGCGTAGGGTGCCAATGAGGAAACATGTCGTTGGCCTCGCACCACGCCGAGGAAAGGCGCGACTCAACCACCTGGTCGGTGATCACCGCGAAGAACTTTCTGAGTAGATTGCTGACGATTCGCCATGAGTCGCACTCGAGTCGAACGCCGCGCAGCAAAGCATGAAGTTTGTGCGCGGCACTGCCATGGCGGGACCCGGTACCAACTGGAGGAAATTTGTGTTTCCGATACATTGTCCAAGATTGCGCTGAACTTCTTGCATTGTCATAGAAGCGTTCTCGTCGACCGGCTCGCGTTGGAAGCGGGCGAGCTTATCTGCCATCCTCGCCGCCCTGTCGAGGTCGGAGCCGCTAATGACAGCGTGCTCGTGGATAAACCTGAAACGGAAGCCAAGGACTCTGACTTCCTCTTCCTCCTCCTTCTCCGCCTTATCGTCCTGACCGCCCTCCCCTGGGCCCGTTCTTATCCTCCTCCTCGCCCAGTTTCATATCCTTTGAGGGTTATGCTTTTAAAATATCCATGCTTCCCGTGCGTTTCGACGATGACTCCGAAACCCCACTGGACGCCCCAGAAGAATCCCCGCCCGAAAATTCACCCAGCGAACCAATCTCGGCCGCCCTGGGGCGACGAGTCCATCATGGAGTAGATGGCGGCATCGTCCGCGACGAGGTTCCTGCGCTTGTCCCGGTGCACGAGCATCCACACGACGTCGAGGTAAAGCCGCGACCTTCTCAATGTCGCAGCGCTGGGAAGCAAATTATCTGCCATGATCTGCTTTGCTGCATCTTGCAATGCCATTGGGAGAATGCGCAACGCCTGCATGATCGTAGATCTCAACGTGTTGGCGCCGCCGCTGCTGTCTGTGCCCCGGGCGTGGAATGAGAAGATCAAGCACTGCACGAGGAAGTGCGGGTTGAAACCGCCGCGGCGGTCGAGTACACAATGAAAATGGCCACCGCGCCCAGGGCGTCGCGACCAACTCCATTGGCAAATGCTTCTGGAATCAAAGACGCTGCGCAGCGGTCCAGCCAGGACACGAAGTCTTGCAATTGATATTGCACAACATCTTGTTGATTACAGTGAGCGGCCAATATCGCTGATGACTATGCTCTGAGATTCGATGATAACGTCATGAACATGTCTTTGCTGAATAGACCCTGGTCCGTCATTGCGGCGGCGATGTCCTTGCTGACGCCGCAGGGGTCCTGTTCTGGAGGAAGCTGTTGTGAGTGTGCTACTTCAGGGTCTGCAACGATAGCGCGATGGCGACACCTATGCCATAGATCGTAGATGATCGCGGACCGCACGCAACGAAATCGACAATCGAGAGCCAACGCGTACCAACATTGTGCTACCACCAAGATTGACACTGGAAACGGCAGCTGCAAGACAGCGCCGGAATCCAAAAAGGCGGCCTCAGTCAGTCCATCGCCCACCCATCGCTGCAACAACTCACGAAAGCGACCCCGGCCGCCCAGCAGAGCGCCTTCGAGCAGGCGATCCCGGCATTCATTCGTTAGACCAAACCGCAAATGTATTGGAGATTCAATGCCGAAGCCAGCGTGGATCATGTCGATGCCCTGCTCGAGACGGCCAGCTTCAACTACTTCGAAATACTTCATGCATGGGCGATTGCCGCCACTCCAACTTGACATTGCTCGGGCTTCCTTTCCTTACTCGCTGAGTGCTCCTGTGTATTTGCCACTGTAACGCAGAAGTGCTACTCCACATATCTGGCTGTAAGATGCATCACGGTCTGGAAACATTGAGGTGCCGGACTCTTCCAACTCTGCCAGTTGTGCATCCTCGAATGTCTCCTGCATGAAATGTTTGTCAATTTGGTCATGGCAGCCACTTTGAATGATACCCCGGCGGCGCTTACCAGCACGCTATCCGCATGATGTGATCCAGATGGGGAATGTCTCACTCTCGAGGCCGCCGTGTGGGCCCTGCATCCATCCTCCTGCTCGGCCGCTCCACGCGGCTTTGCGAATTTGCTACATTGGGAAGAAGGCCGCAATGTTTGAGGCAGGTCTGGTCACAAATGGCTATGGATGGAGGACAACGGAGACAAGCAACAATCACAATGGGACCTGACTGACCAAACGAGCCACCGGAGATTCCAAGAGTTTGCGTGGCCGACCCACTCGTCCTCCTCCGCCTCTTCGCGTGCGTTTGCGTGTGTGTGCGTGCGTGTGCGTGCCTGCGTGTTTGTGTATGTGTGTGATAATTAACATGAAAACTTGCTGACGCGTCTGTGTCGCCACAACGCCGCCGAGGGAAAACATGCACGTGTGTGTGTGTGTGTGTGTGTGTCTGTGTCTGTGTCTGTGTCTGTGTGTGTGTGTGCGTGCGTGCGTGCGTGCGTGCGTGCGTGCGTGCGTGAATGTATGTGTGGTCGTGCGTGCGCGTGTCGGCGAGTGAGAAGGAGGGCAAGTGGCGGCGGGGGGGGCGGAGGAGGACAAAGGGAGGTGGTGGAGGAAGCGGAGGAGGAGGACACAGGAGGAGGGTGGAGGAGGATGAGGAGGAGGAAGGAGAAGGGCGGAGGAGGAAGAGAAGGACCGGGACGAGGGTGGAGGAGGACGGAGAAGGAAAAAGAGCCACAACATGTGGCGCGATCCGTGAGGGGTTGCCGAGCGCGACACGAAGTTCCCTGGCGCGACATGGAGCCACCCGTGGCGCGACAGTCATCCCTTCCCCCAGCCCCTTCTTTCCCAAGACCAGGACTGGGAGAAGGGTGGAAGAGGAACAGGGGGAAAAGGAGGGGTGGAGGAGGAAAAGGAAGACCCTGGGGAGGGCGGAGGAGGAAGAGGAGGAAAGGGGGTATAGTGGAGGAGGAAGAGGAGGAGAGGGCGTAGGGCGGAGGAAGAAGAAGATAAGGAGGACAAAAGGCTAAATGTGGAGGACGGTGGAGGGCGAGCGGGAGGAGAGGGTTTACAGGGCGCGGTTCCATCTCAGGGGGCGCGCAGTGGGGAGGGACAGGGCAACAGTGAAAATTATTCTTAGGCTTACGCCACATCCGCCGACCCCTTGTTTTTTAGTTGTCCGCGGGGCCGCTCACCAGAGTTTTTTTGTCAAGCCGCGGGAGAGATTCAGGTGGTGACCTTGAATTGTGTTCGGGTACTGTTGGGCGGGCCGTCGTGCATGGGCGCCGTTTGGGGGGCCCTGTCGCGGCGGTTTTCAGGCATTTATGGGGTGTTCTGGGGTTCTTGCCGAGGGTTCTCTGGTCGTCCTTGGGGCCTTTTCCGGTGGTGGAGAGGGGAAGTACGTTGCGCGCCGGTGACACTTCAAGGGTGTCGGCGGATGGCGCGCGGGAGTACCCGGGATTACTTATGTTTGCTGTTTTTCCCCATATCCTAAGTATGTGGTTTTTGTTCTTACTGTGACCGCGCCGGAAGGAAGAACACACCTCCTCCCCCTCCTCCTCTTCTCGGCTTCTCACCCGACGACTACCTTATACTCTGATTTTGACCGCGCCGGAAGAAGGAACACCAACCCCATCATCCAGACTTAGTCATCATTCAGACTCATTCATCACTCAGATCAGACTCACTCATCTCCCAGACTCACTTATCAACGAGACTTACTCATCAATCAGAATTAATCACCACTCAGACTCCCTCATGCTCAGTTTCGCTCAGACTCATTCATCACTTAGACGCACTCATCAATCAGATTCATTCATACTTGTACTCATTACACTCACTACACTCTGTCAGGTCCACTCATCAGATGACTCACACACACACACACACTGATGTTGAGGATGTCTCAGGCGATTCTGTGGCTCCAGCACTTCTAAGGGGGGCGGCGGGGGGCGTTTGCAGGGGGTCCCGTTCGTGTAGTTTTGTGGGGATGTCTCAGGCGGTTTGGCCTTTTTCTCCTCCAACATGTTTCGCTTTCGAAGCAGATTTGGAGGATGTCTCAGGCGATTCGCTGGTTTCAGCACTCTAAAGGGGGCGGCGGGGGGTGTTTGCACGGGGTGCCGTTCGGGGAATTGTGTGGGGATGTCTGAGGCGGTTTGGCCATTTTCTCTTCCAACATGTTTCGCTTTCGAACCAGATTTGGTGGATGTCTCAGGCGATTCGCTGGTTTCAGCACTCTAAGTGGGGCGGCGGGGGGTGTTTGCACGGGGTGCCGTTCGGGGAATTGTGTGGGGATGTCTGAGGCGGTTTGGCCGTTTTCTCTTCCAACATGTTTCGTTTTCGGAGTAGATTTGGAGGAGGAGGAGGAGGAGGAGGAGGAGGAGGAGGGGGAGGCAGGAGGAGGAGGAGGAAGAGGAGAGGAGGAGGAGGAAGAGGAGGAAGAGGAGGAGGAGGAGGGGAGGAGGAGGAGGAGGAGGATGATAATGATGATGATGAGGA